ATTATTTTATATTTTTCTAATTATGGTATCTCCAACCTAAATAGTTGTTCTTTTTTGACCTTTTAGTCATATTTTATAAACTTGGACTAGAAGTTATGAAAAAATATATATTGAATTATGATATAAAATTAATATAATTAAATTTTGTTTTAAAATTTAGTTTTGATACATCAAACTTCTACCACATCTACTAATGTCTTTATGTTTATAAATGCAAATATAAAAGATAAATTCAAATAGTGTTACGCTTCAATTGAATTCAATTCGGTAAAAATTGAGTGAAATTATGTCAATGATATTTAATAATACTCCTAAAAATTGATAGAACTGAATGAGATTAATACAATTGAGTGCAAATTTTATAAATTATCTGAGTGTATTTGGTTGAAATTAGATAAAATGAATTTCAATAGAGTAAAATATAATTAATTTTATACCTAAATTTAATGGTGTAGATCAAATTTGAATATGATAACACTAGATGCTACAGCTAGAGAGCTTTTTAAAAATGATAACGCAAACCTCTAACGTTATTGAGTAATATTGGGTGAATATGTTTGAAACTAATCAAATTAGCTCCCAAACCAATAAAAATTATTGTAATTGGATGAAATTAGAATAAAATCAAGTTTTTCCATACAATTAATAATATAATTCTTTCGTCCCAAAAAAAATCGCACTTCACTATTTAAAAATTACAGAATTTTTATTTATTTGTGCATTTTCATTGATTATTTGATAAAATAGACTATTATTCTTTTAACCTCTTACTTGTTTTTTTAAATATGTAAAATGTTTTTATTTCTATACCAATCTTTAAATAAAATAAAATTTTAAAAACTTAAAATTTTGCTTTGTTTTGCGTTATGTAGCATTCTTTCTGAGATGGAAGGATTTTTTTTTTTACTTTCCCTCCTTAATCTTATCTCTTTTCTTACGCCACCATTCAGCCCATTTCTCAACTCCCACACACCTTCAACTCTTAGACCTAATTTCTTTTAACTGATGTCTCACCTTGTTTTTCAAATATTTTATTAGCTTTAATTTTGTTAATAACAAAATAGTTGGGTCACTTTATTCATCCCATATTTTATATGTATAACTTTTGTGCAATTTCTAAATATAATAAATTTAAGACATGCAATTTTGTAATTTTTTTAAAGAAGGTAATCCTTGTTATGAGGGAATGAGCAAGTAATGTAATTAGTTCATATGGTAAAATAAAAATTTAAAAATATAATATGCTTATAGATAAAATTAAAAACTTTTTCATTTATTCAAAAGTAACGGTGCGTCATAGAAAAATAGTAGTGTTAAAATAAATTTGGAGTAATAAACGCAATAAAGAAAAGCGTAAAGTAAGTGCACCATATTTTATAGTGATTCGGGAACTCCTTATTCCAATATGTTAAGGCTCTTTCTTAAGGATTTCCAATCCACTAGAACGCATTGACCGTAGTAACACGATCGTCACAACGGAACTAGTTTTGGCAAACAAACCTTTGCTAATAGGTTTACACTAGATAGACCATACTTCACGCCTTGAAGTATCCAACTAGCTTGAAGATTTTCCAACGACTATCCTTGACTGCATCTAGAGATTTCACAACGGCTATCTCCAATCGTTCTTCAATAAAAATTTTAGCCTATAATGATAGAATTTAGGATGGGTATGAACAACTGGATTGTGTAATAAGATACTTGGGTTGAATCGCATTAAAAGATTGAATCCAACCTATTAGTTAGTTCAACTCAAGAGCTTATATACCAATTATTTTATTCTTGAACTTCTGATGTGGGATGCACTTTAACACTTCCCCTCAAGTGGACAACCAGGCCATTTTGAATCTTACCGGTTGACCACTTGCAAATGAACTCTCATTCTCTTGATTTTTTGAGCGCCAACACCTAAAGGACTATCCACGAGCTGCTGGGTATGGACTTCCAGACGAGCAATCGTGTTAAACAGGCCACAGGCCGTTGGGTACATACTCCATACGGACAACTGGGCTAAAGAGAAATGGGCCGCTAGAAATGAACGTCAAGACGGACACCTTGACAAACGAGGTGGACCAAAACCTACTCTGATACCATGATAGAATTTAGGATGAGTATGGACAATTGGATTGAGTAATAAGATACTTGGGTTGAACCACATTAAAAAATTGAATCCAATCTATTAGTTTATTCAACTCAATAGCTTATATACCGATTATTTTATTCTTGAACTTCCGATGTGGGATGCACTTTAACATACTCCCTCTGTTCACCATAGATCTTCCCAATAGCCCTTTTTCTTTGTCCACAATAGATCTTCTCATTTCATTTTTTAACAAGTAAAATACCACAACTACCCCCACTTACTTTATTTATTACACCTCACCCACCTCATTTAATACACCCCACCCATTTTTCATTGAGGGTATTATGGTAAACTTTCACCTTTTTTCAACTCTCCTTAAAAACCACCAAAAGTCAAAATGAGAACATCTTAGGCGAACGGAGGGAGTATAACATAAATTAAGCTATAAACTGATCTAATTAGAGCTGAACCGTTTCCCTTTTTCTCGTTTTTTAGTCAAGAACTATAGATTAGATTCCTAAATATAACTCCATCGTAACCAAATAGGAAGTATATACTCCTTCCGTCTTGTAAGGACGTTCTATTTTTTATTCTATGGTGGCAGATGGAGTATTAGAAGAAAAAAATCTATGTAAGTAGAAGCAAAAGAAAAACTTATATCTCCAAAAAATACGAGCTCGGACCTAAATTAATCTTAAAGAAAACAAACTTTCAAAAAAAAAAAAAAAATCTTAAAGAAAACAATTGTATGCGCTCCACCACCAACTCAATTGTTGTTGGCATTATTATTACTCCCACCCTTCCACAAAACACTTCTTCTTTTGTTTTTTTATTTTACACAAAACACTTCTATTTTCTATTTAAAAACCACTTTTACCCCTACTTTTTCATATCCTACCTATCACATCATACTTTTTCACTAATAACCAAACTATCACATCTTACTTTTTCCCATCACATCAGGGGCAAAATTGGAAAGTCAACCAAAATTACATTTTCCTTAGTTTTCTCCAAAGTCAAAACCGGAAGGTTTTGTAGAACGAAGGGAGTATATTTTAACAAATGAATATATTTGTAGTTGTTTTAGTAGGAAAATGTTAGAGTCACAAACATATACTACATTCGTCCCACTGTACCTTTTGGCACACCGTCCAATGCACTTCTTTAATCCATTTTATCTTGTAATTTGTATATTAAAAAATTATAGAAATTATATATTAATAATCTATATGTTAAGACAAATCAAACAAGATCACACATGACTATATTTAGGCTTACACATTGAGAGAATTTGATGAGTCAAAGTGCTTAGATGAACAGTTCCAAAAGTCAAAAGTGGACAAAGACAGTGGGACGGAGGGAGTAATTCACA